CCCTCTCTCCCCCCTCTCTCTCCCCGCTCTCTCTCCCCCCTCTCTCTCCCCCCTCTCCGTCGCTCTCTCTCCCCGCTCTCTCTCCCCGCTCTCTCTCCCCGCTCTCTCTCCCCCCTCTCTCTCCCCCCTCTCCGTCGCCCTCTCTTCCCCCAGATCGCCCAGCGGCTCCTGGAGAAGGAGGTGCTGAACAAGGCGGACATGGTGGAGCTGCTGGGCCCTCGCCCGTTCGCCGAGAAGTCGACGTACGAGGAGTTTGTGGAGGGCACGGGCAGCCTAGAGGAGGACACCTCGCTGCCCGAGGGCCTCCGGGACTGGAACCGCGACCGGCAGCCGCCGGCTGATGGCGCCGCCGGAGAGACGGGGGGCGACACGGACGGCGACGGGAAGCTGGTGCAGCAGCCTGTGTGATTGGGGGGTGGGGCGGTGTGGGTGGGGAGGGGGGCGTGCGATGGGTGCAGGTAACCACCCACCTCCCCCACCGTGGGGAACGTGGGGGGGGGGCGGTGTCTTAGATGCACTCTTGCCACCCATGTGTGTGTGTGCGAGTCCTGGGTGTGAGTGTTTGTGAATTAGTGCGAGTGTGCAATTAGGTATGGGTGTGTGCGATTTAAGTCAGTATGTGTGTGCAAGTGCGCGTGTGTGAATGTGTGTGGGGGTGTGGGTCTGGGTAATGTTATGTGTGCATGTGAATAGGAACTTGCTAACAGCACTTGCCCCAAGTGCAGTCTGCCAAAGACTACATAGGGGGGTCTGTATGTGTGTGAGAGTGTGAGCATCTTTGTGGTCTGTGTGGATCTGTGAGTGTGATGGTCACCTTGTGTAGGTGCAATGTAATCAACCATGTCCCCCCCCTCACAACCTCCAGACATACTTATTTAACATCAGATTGAGCGTGTGCGGTTGTGAGTGACCTTGGGGAGCGGGAGTATTACGGACAGCGCGCTGCGCTACGAACCCGACGATGCGAGTTTGATTCCCGCTCGTGGCCAACACCGGTGACGATTATCTGAACCGGCCCTGCGCCTCCGCTAGGTCGACTCGACTTCAAATGAGTACCTGGTGCGGTGTGTAAACATCTCCACAAGGAAGACAAATATGGCCGGGCGTGGTGCTGGCCACCCACCCCCTTTGTGTGCCATGCCGACCTTCATAGGTTCTCGCCAACAGCACTTGCCCCAGCAGTCTGTTCAGGCTTTATGGGGGATCTTTGTGTGACTGAACTAATTGGGACACACTTGGGCTTGAATGTACGGGACGATAATCTCACTCCGAGTGGCAGCTCACGGAACCCACGTGTGTCACGGTTATCGAGCACTCTCTGCTCCTTTTGGCTTTGTTCTAAATTCACTCGGAGTCACTCTTAGGCTGGGCCCGCCTTCCCCCGCCGGCCAATCACCGGCCGTCTTCCTAGGCTATCCGATCATCACTGGCTCACCCGTGGCGTTCTACAACCCAGGGAAGTTAACGTTTCGTGTAGAGTTTTATCAGGGGAATATTTACTAATGGCGTTCTATCGTAGCGGCGGTCGCCACTGAGTTCACGCTGTGTGTATATACGGGGAGCGGCGTTGTGTCTGCGCTGTGTGTCTGCGTTCTGCGTTGCACGCCGCCGTCACACCCACGCACGCACCTAGCAGTGTCGCCGTTGAATTTTGCGCAAATAAACAAACTTGAGAAATCGCTGTGGTCTTGCCGAGTGCGTTCTTGGTTTTCGTCACGAAGGAATAGGGGCATGTTAATGACTGCAAGCGACATATATGAACTACACCCAGATGTAAAAAATAGTTACTCAGGAGAGCCACACAAGTTTTCAGGAGGGTCCTGTTGGTACATTGGATATTTATTTAAAATTATTTTATCTTTTAATGATGTTGAGACACGTGGGAGGAAACCCGTGCGCGCGAGGGGGCAACACTCTACCCCCGTACAGATGGTGATTAGTCTCCTTGCTGTACCGCTGCCTCCTGGCGAGTCGGGGTACTGCACCTCGATCGCTAAATTGTTGTGTCCTTTGTCTGAACCCTCGCTGCTGCCTCCACACGGCTGGGTTCTCGGCAGCCAGCCGCGTGCAGCGTAGCCACCGCGTGGCGCAGTCTCCTCACGAGAGTCGGGGCTGTCGCGTGTGAAGGGAATCCAATGAAATACAAAACGAGCGTGGTGGTGGCAGTGGTGACCGAGCTGCGATGTAGTCATAATGGCAGTGGGGTGTTCGTGTCTGAGCCGAGGCAGGCCGAGACGGACGCCGCGAGGCAGCGGAACGCAGCCTTGCCCCTTGGAGAGGGCGCGACCAGCAGTCCCCTCGATACCGGGGACGTAAAGATGCATCATCGATCGATTATTATTGATTCTTAAGCTCACATTACACGCGAATACTCCACACAGAAGTGGTGGATACAATATTCCTGTACATCGGTGTCGTGTTCGCTTATCACGTGCGTATCTCTGTGTGTGTGACCTCTGTGTGACCTCGTGTGATCTGTGACCTCTGTGTGTGTGACCTCTGTGTGTGTGACCTCTGTGTGACCGGTGTGACCTGTGTGTGTGACCGGTGTGATCTCTGTGTGTGTGACCTCTGTTTGTGATCTGTGTGTGACCTCTGTGTAATCTCTATAATCTCTGTGACCTCTGTGTGTGTGACCTCTGTCCAGAGGTGGGACAAAGTCATTGTTATGCAAGTCCAAGTCGAGTCTGAAGTCATCAAATTCATGACTCGAGTCTGACTCGAGTCCAAGTCACATGACTCGAGTCCACACCTCTGCCTCTGTGTGACCTCCAGCTCGCCTCTGGTGATTGTTTATTCATGGCGCCTGCCCGCCCTGTGGAGCCGAGCTCGCAGTCCCGAGGCTTTCTCTCTCTCTCTCGGCAGGGGGCGAAGTTGCTCCGTGGAGCAACTTCGCCCCAATCGAGTCGTGGGCGGGTTCTTGTCCAGATTTGGGCTGCTTTGGCCGACGCCGGGTTGACATTGCGTGGTGGATGTTTGTGTTTAGCGATGGAAACCGGGGGACAGGGGGAGAGAATGCAAACTCCTACCGAGTCGGGAATCGAACCCCGGCACCTTCTTGCACGAGTGTCAGCACTGCCGCCCATGTTGTTGATGTTCAGTGAGCCCTGAGCTATTGTTGTTGTTGTTGTGGAGTGAGCCCTGCGCTATTGTTGTTGTTGTGGAGTGAGCCCTGCTCTGTTGTTGTTGTTGTGGAGTGAGCCCTGCGCTATTGTTGTTGTTATGGAGTGAGCCCTGCACTATTGTTGTTGTTGTTGTGGAGTGAGCCCTGCGCTATTGTTGTTGTTGTTGTGGAGTGAGCCCTGCGCTATTGTTGTTGTTGTTGTGGAGTGAGCCCTGCACTATTGTTGTTGTTGTTGTGGAGTGAGCCCTGCGCTATTGTTGTTGTGGAGTGAGCCCTGCGCTATTGTTGTTGTTGTGGAGTGAGCCCTGCACTATTGTTGTTGTTGTTGTGGAGTGAGCCCTGCACTATTGTTGTTGTTGTGGAGTGAGCCCTGCGCTATTGTTGTTGTTGTGGAGTGAGCCCTGCTCTGTTGTTGTTGTTGTGGAGTGAGCCCTGCGCTCCTGTTGTTGTTGTTGTAGAATGAGCCCTGCGCTATTGTTGTTGTTGTGGAGTGAGCCCTGCACTATTGTTGTTGTGGAGTGAGCCCCGCGCTATTATTGTTGTTGTTCAGTGCGCTCTGCTCTATTGTTGTTGTTGTGGAGTGAGCCCTGCTCTATTGTTGTTGTTGTGGAGTGAGCCCTGCGCTCCTGTTGTTGTTGTTGTGGAGTGAGCCCTATGCTATTGTTGTTGTTGTGGAGTGAGCCCTGCGCTCCTGTTGTTGTTGTGGAGTGAGCCTTGCTCTATTGTTGTTGTTCAGTGCGCTCTGCTCTATTGTTGTTGTTGTGGAGTGAGCCCTGCTCTATTGTTGTTGTTGTGGAGTGAGCCCTATGCTATTGTTGTTGTTGTGGAGTGAGCCCTGCGCTCCTGTTGTTGTGGAGTGAGCCTTGCTCTATTGTTGTTCAGTGCGCTCTGCTCTATTGTTGTTGTTCGCCTCGCGCCAACCCCCCCACCCACCGCGCTCCGCGCATGCGCAGTGCAGCGCGAGGAGGCGAGCTCCGCTGCTGCAGCTCCATCCCTCTCCACACATCCCCCCCCCCCTCGCCTCCTCCTCATCCCCCTCTCCACACATCCCTCGCCTCCTCCTCATCCTCCTCCACCTCCTCGTCGTCGTCTCCTCGTCGTCTCGGCGCGGGTGTCGCGGCGAGGGATGCGGCTCCGCGCGGCTCCTCCTGCCCGGCCCCGGCCCCGGCTCCGCGCCCGAGACGAGGGACCCCGCGCGGCTCCTCCCGCCCGCGCGTGCCCGCGGCTCCTCGCGCCCGGCCTCTCGCTCCCCTGCCCGGCCTGACCCTGCCCGGCCAGCCGCCTCGCGCCCAGCCGCACCCCCAGGGCACGCAGCCTCCACGAGACTCACCCATCCACCTCTCACCACCCCACCTGATCCACCCCCCAGACATTCCTCCACGAGCCTCACCCATCGCCTCTCCCACCCCCACCCCTCTCCTCTCCCACCCCTCCCATCCCGATCCACGTCTCTCCCTCCCATTCTGATTCAATTTACGATCCACCCCCTGATCCACCCCCTGATCCACCCCCTGATCCACCCCCTGATCCACCCCCTGATCCACCCCCTGATCCACCCCCTGATCCACCCCCTGATCCACCCCCTGATCCACCCCCTGATCCACCCCCTGATCCACCCCCTGATCCACCCCCTGATCCACCCCCTGATCCACCCCCTGATCCACCCCCTGATCCACCCCCTGATCCACGGCCTCCCTCCCCCCCTCCCCCCTGGCGAGCCCCGGCGTCTCGCCGCGCCGCCCGCGAGATGCCCGCTCAGTGCGCGCCGTAGCCCGGGCCGGGAACCAACCTCGCCCGTCCGCGCTCACCCCGAGCCTCCTCCAATCACCCGGATCGGCTTCGTCCCAGACCCCCACCCCCTCCTCCACCTCAGGGCCCCGTTCCTCACCTCGCTCCGAGTCCCCTGGCCACCCCGTGCCCCCCCCCCCCCCCCGGGCTCCCCGCGATGGAGGCCGCGACCCCGTGGGCCCCGCGCCTCCCGCTGCTGCTCCTGCTGCTGCTCCTCGGGGTGGAGGCGTCGCCCTTCAGCGTGGAGGTGAGCGCCCCCCCCCCCCCCCCGAGTTTCCCCGAGCTCCATCCCGAGTCCAAGCCCCCCGCGTCTGGCCTGTGGCAGCAGGGGCCATCATCATCATCAGTATGCGCGCCGTGGCGTCCGTCTGGCGTGCGCTACCGGACACCGGCGGTGGCGGAGTGCCGAGTGTGGTGTGACGAGGGGTGACGAGGCGGTGTGGGGTGACGAGGGTGCGAGGGGTGACGAGGGGGTGTGGGGTGACGAGGGTGCGTGGTGTGACGAGCTGTGTGTGGGGTGTTCTCTGTGTGCGCAGTGATGAGTGGTGTGTTAGGTAAGTGGTTTGTGGTACGAGGCGCGGTGTGATGTGTTGTGATGTGTGTGTTGTGATGTGTGTGTTGTGTGGTGATGTGTGTTGTGATGTCTGTATGATGATGTCGTTGGCACAGTGGGGAGCACGCGGGGTGCAACTGCCGGTCATCTCGGTCAGTTAACCCATGGCACCTGGGTCTGTGCCGTGATTTCCCTGCAGCGGCTGTGCTTGTTGATGTAGTTCGGTGTCGTGCTGCGTAGCGTGTCTCTAAGTGGTAGCGCAGTGTGGTGGTGCACGCTGTCGTCTGAGTTCTCAGCGATCCGTCCCTTTATACGCGTGTCTCTGTGTGTGTTTTTGTATGGGGAGCGGTGGTGCAGTGGTTAGTAGCTGCGCAATTGAATCCGGCGACCCAAGTTCAATTCACTGCCAACATCGGTGAGAAATATCTCAACGGGTTTTCCCCACGTGGGAGACAAAGGCGGCCAGGCGTGGTGTTGGCCACCCACCCCGTCGTGCATGGCTCCGGCCTGCATAGGTGTTTGCTAACAGCACTTGCCCCAACAGTCTGTCAAGGCTACCCGGGGTGTCTGTGTGTGTATCCAAGTGTCGCGGTGGCCGCTGCACCGCAGCTCCCCCCGTGTGTGTCTCGTGCAGTAAAGATGGCTGCTTCCACATGTTCACATTAACCCGCTCATCCTCATCCTCCTCGTCCTCCTCGCACGGGTAACAGCGGCGCTCTGCTGAGGTTGTAAACAAAAGGCGCGGGCGCAAAGCAATCTCCATGCGGGACACGAGACCGTGGGTGGCACACGGCTCGCCGTGATGAATGGGCTGCTGTGTGTGTGGAGGTGGTGGAGAGACGAGGCGCCGACCGTGCGTGGGTGGGTGGCTGTTTGCCCCGTGGCCTGCTGAGGAAAGAACGCAGCAGCAGCAGCAGCATTTTTAGTAGAATCATTGTCCACAGCGAGCCGCAGTGTCGCGACAACACCGCCACCAGAGCTGCTGCACTCTCCATTGCCGCAGCGAGGAACAGCCGTGGTCCCAATAGACATCCTCGGCAGGACGTTGACCCAACGTTGGCAGCGTTTCTTGGCATCTCGCGTGAATTATTATAACCCAGGCAAAACATGACGAAGATCTCTTGCTTGATCGCACGAGCAATCGCGTGCCACTTCTGAGTCATCCCTCTGGCTGGGACCACGCGCTCACCACCGGACCATGGCGGTGAATGGTGCCCATCGAGCAATGGTGACGATGATGATGCTCATGGCCTTCTCAGGGGTGAGGGGTCAGGCCTGCTCAGGCTACGAGTATTTCAACTGAGACGTTCACGTTTGTACGGGCCCTGCCGCTACCCTCGTGAGACTCACCGTGGCCTGCCGACACAGACAGGGAGGGCTTCGGTCCGCGTGTGTCGTGCAGGGAATGTGTGCAGTCAAAGCTGCGATCAGCAGCCAACAAACCGCCATCAACATACACGTGGACGTCCAGTATCACAGCATGAATACTGTGCAGTATATGTGTGTGGGTGTTTGCACGCAGTATTTCCATCTCTCCATACATGAAGTTAAGGACCCTGTACTCGTTCTCTGCTAAGTGTACGTTTTCGTCTTTGTTTTGCTCACGCACCACGGATCTTCCGTGTAAAATAGCCGGGCAGCTGGCTAAACGACATAACACCTGTAACAAATCAAAATAAATTCTAAATTAAAACACGAGTCAATACCGCTGCTGCCTACCTTTGTATTTGAGGCGACCGCAGCACGCGTCTAACGAGTCAAACACGCGTCTAACGAGTCTAACGCGCGTCTAACGAGTCGAACGCGTGTTTTTCCAGTGAGTAACAGTAGACTTTTCAATGTCAAAGTGGAGCAAATCGAGCGATGACGTGGAGGGTTGGTTGATGAGTATAGTTTAAGCTCAGTTATACGTTCAAGGTCATATTTCAAGTGTCAATAAACCCTTTAAGTAAACTACACGCCAGAGAAGCATACGGGTAATTCAATCTTCTCAATCCCCTCTTTTGTCTCAGGACAATAGTGATATGGAGAGTGTGGTCGTGATTCATGACGATACTCGTGAAGTGGTTTGCGTGCCGCACGTTTACGCACAGACAGCCATCGCCCCCCCCCCTACTGCGACGGCATGGCAGGACCCTCCTGAAAATGAGTCACGAGACTCGGCGAGGCCTTCCTGGGTTAACTTGCGCAACAATTGACTAAAGACTGCTTCAACTGAAGTCACCCGTCGTCAGTTTGTGTGGAGGTCGCGCTGTTTACGATCGTGGTTAAATCAGTTTAACATCCTCCAAATCAGGAATCGCCCAAAAATCCAAGATAAGTGTTGAGGTTGTAGTATGAATAAGTTATTCATCGTACACAAAATAAAAGTTGTATTTATAGCTTTAAAGTGATACCCTACTATGATCTAATTGTGTTCGTGAATTATGTATATTGAATAGGTGCAGCTGTAGATCAGGTACACGTTGTGAGACTACTATAGTATAATCTAGGAATAAAGAGTGAGAGTTAGATCGGATGCAGAGTATCATCGTTGTTCAGGCCCTGCAAAAACATAAATCCAAATAGCAACTGTTTAAAATGCTCGTAGCACTGTGTTGGACGAAGAAGGGGAGGCATTTTCACAGTGATGCACTTCGCTACTCCTGACGCAATCATCTGGCTCCACCTCAATGTAAAATCACAGCTGTTGCTCTCCATCGAAATCAGCCGTATGAAGAAGATGAAGCTCTGTGTTGCCATCAAAGAGTGGTGCTCTCGCAGGGAACTACAATCAAGTTGCTGTGTATTATCGTGCATGCTTGTGTTTTGATTAATCTTCGGACGGGTTAGACACAGTGGAAACCTTCAGACCCAATATAGGTTATTTAGGGTATCCAGACAGACGCGGGTTTGAAGCGAGGGCTTTTCTCCGGTGCAGTGCAGCAGCGTGGGGCAGTGTGAGGCAGTGATGCTGAAAACTGGTGCCTCGGGGTGAGCGACCCTAACGCTGGCGTGGTGGCGAGGGGTGGCCGCGTGGGTCAAGCGCCGTTGTTGCAGGTCCCAGTAAGCAGGGGGGGGGGGGTAGAAGTGGGAGCGGGCAGCGTGCACGTCGACAGTGTTGTGAAGCTGACGGAGACGTTGCTTCAGCAAGGGTGCGTATGTCAGAAAATTGATTTGTCCTGGAGGAATCCGATGAGCTATGAAGCTCTTTTTTTCACAGATGTCCAGTCGAGGTGCTGTATCGGATGTGTTGAAGTTGGAAGGTGGCTCAATAGTGTGCTCGTTTTGACGACTTGATCGTGTGTACAGGAGGTCGCGATGAGCGTGGCAGTCATTTCTTATTGGCATTGGAATTGGCACCGAGATTTAAGATATTTCAGAGATCTTAGTTTAATATTGGGACCAATGCCAGTATCAGTGATTGTCATATTCTGCTTCGTGTGGGGAGAGTGAGAGGTCGAGGGATTTGAGGGAGGCGACGGAGATACAGGAGGAGGGTGTTGTGATGGTGAAAGAAAACTAATTTCCTTAGAAGTGCTTTAAAACTCAGTTGTCCTTCCCCTAGCACGGTTCACTACGTACGGTGCGAAAGAAGTCCGATGTAGTACAGTACGTACATAGACGATAGCGGCCAAGTGCAGGGAACGTGACACGGAGCGCTGCACGAGCGAGCGGTGGCCTCACGGCCCGAGCGCGTGGCCACACTGAGAGTGGAACTGTCCACACTCAGCGTGGTGCTGAACCGCGGGGGCCACTGCCGTGCCGTGAAGTGCCGGTGCCGTCTCCTTGCAGAGTCGGCCTGCTGGCGCGCCACGTGACACGTCGTCGTGTAAAGTATAATAACGACGACGAGGCCCTTCCCTGGTGATTAATGTACATTGCTTGTTAACATGACCCGTGTCATCGGCAAGACAGCGGAGATTCCTAAACTTTTCTCCATTAACGTTTCAGCCGTTTCCGTTCGTCCAATCTAATTGTGGACCGATATCCCCAAATGGAGCTGTAAATAACCACGGTGAGAGCATATCGCATTGTGTGGCGCCCCCAACCCTCCAGAGTTGTATTCTAGCACCCTCTGCGTGTAACGTAGCAGTTCCTCATTTGTAAATGGGTTGAAGTCCGTTTTTATCGAACACGGTGTTCACGGTATCTTATTTAAATGACATTTGGAAAACGGAATAAAGACGAAGCGTTGTCGTAACTAGAGAATGGTATAACCACGTAGGCTTTCGCGACCAATATTATTCATAATCAACGTTTTTGGGTTTAGATCGCGTTATTTATAAATGTGTCGTACAACTCGCATCGTAACAATAGCCTGATTACTAATCTAGTATATAATTACAATCACTCCCCCCTTGAATCTTTGCACCTGATGAGTTAATGATGACGTCACCCTGCTGCTGCTCTATATAAGAACGGGAGACACAGCAGAGCCTCACCATTCTGGCGAATTGCCCGATGATGCTGGATGCAATTACCAGCGAAACGTCGTACTCAGATTGTAAATGTTGTGGCTTCAACACACCGGTGGGCTAAAGCAGTGAACTATTTGTCTTTTGTCAACGTGACACTTTTTTTTACTGATTGGCTGTGTCGGGTGGTGGAGGGTTACGACACATTTATAAATAACGCGATCTAAACCCAAAAACGTTGATTATGAATAGAGAATGGTATTTTACAAATACGGTTATTGAAAACCAAAAGCGTTT